TTTTTAATATTAAGGTTGATACTATAAATATGACAGCTGTAGCAGATGGAGAATTTAATTATATTATTCATATTCATGATCACTTCACTAGGTTTTTCTATGCAGAACCTGCAAAAACAAAAACTGCAGAGAAAGCTGCAGGTATTTTTATACGATTTTGTTTAAATTATGGGCTGCCATTAATTTTATATACAGATAATGGTGGCGAGTTTGTTGGAGACATCATGAAGGAAACAGTAAAACTTTGGCCAGCAGTTAAATTCATACATGGAAAACCAAGACATCCGCAATGCCAAGGATCTGTTGAAAAAGGAAATGATATACTGCAATCAAAATTGGGATCATGGATGGAGGAAACAAAACGTACAGATTGGAGTATTGGATTGTCCTTTGTAATATATGAGTATTTTATTATAAATATTAATATCTATTATATAATAATTAAATTTATTATAATTATATAAATTAGAAGCAATGAATACGCAAATATGTAAAGCAATAAAAACTACATCTTATCAATTAGTATTTGAACAAAAAGCTTGTTTAGATTTATCGATAATTTCAATGCTTCATCAGCAAAGCATAATACATAAAGAAAATATACCATTAGAAAATCAATTATCGAATTTTAATTATGAAGGTTTTATTTAAATTTTATAAATTTTATAAATAATTAATATATATAATTTAATTACTTAATTTACTTAATTTATATATAATATAGATACACCATTATCAGATTTTACTCATGATGATATTACTCATAATGATATTACTTATAATGATATTACTCATGGCGATATTACTTACAACAATATTACTCACAATGATATTACTCATAGTGATATTACTCATAACGATACTACTCACGATGATATTACTTATGATGATACTACTTATGATGATATTGCTTACGATGATATCACTTATGATAATATTACTTATAATGATATTACTTATAGCAATACTACTCACGATAATATTACTTACAATAATATTACTCACAGCAATACTACTTAAGATAATATTATTAACAATAATATTACTCACAATTATATTACTCATGATGATATTACTTGTAATAATATTACTTACAACGATATTACTCACAACAATATTACTCTTGACAATATAACTTATGATGATATTACTCACAACAATATTACTCAAAATAATATTGAATCATCTAATTCTATTTATGAAATTATTGATCTATATAATTCTATTAATGAAAATATTGAATTGTTCAATTCTATTCCTGAAGATGAATTATCTAATTTAACTTCTGAAAGTATATAATATAGTTTATATATACATTAATAATATTATACTAATTTAGTTATTTAATTTATAAAAATTTTAGTATCGATGTTTTCAAACTACAGTAATAACAATGAAATAATTATAATTAGTGATAATGAGAAGAATGATCCTAAATTTAATAATCATTATGTAATAAAAGATAAAAAGGGTAAAGAAATTGAACAAAATAATGATATAAATTTACCCGCTCTGGCAAGTATATTTTTATTTTATTATAAAATTTACTATAGATATATTTATATATTAATATCAACTTTTATTAGAATAATGATATGAATTTAGATGAAGTTCCATCATCAGTTACATTATTTGAAACAAATACATTAGCTGAAAATTCAACTTGTGCAAGTTTTAGTCAACATGCACAATTAAGAAAGGCAGCAAATAGACACATTACTCAAAATCATCAAATTATTTACAATCTTATGGAAAAAAATATAAAGCTAAAAAACATTCATTAAATTTCAAACCAGGAGATCTTATAAAGATCTGAATTCCTGATATTGATAGGTTAAAAATGGACAGACGAGCACTGCCATATAAGGTTATTTAAAAAAAGCCAAATCATAACTCTTATCAAGTTGGTTGTAAATTTGGTATTTTGAATACCTGGTTTTCGGCAAATGAATTAGAACCATTGGGGACTGATGATTTTCCAGACCTTGACATAATTCCAACAGGCAAGTTTATTTCTTTACGAAATGCTGGTTCTCAAAAAAACTTAACCAGACCAATAAAACCACTTCAAAATATTACAAATGAAGCATCTAATCAAGAACGTGTACAAGATACAAGAGGTGATGGTTGCCAATGTACTAAAAAAATTGTGAAACTAAGAGCTGTTCTTGTCGAAAAAACAATGCTCTTTGTACTTTTCGTTGTAGTTGTGTGTGCAGAGGTTTATGCAAAAATCATTAAGTTTTTCTTATGCTAAATATTCTTTATGTTTCGTACTAGCTTAGCATTTATTATCAACAAAAATGTTTTATCACTTGTTAAATAGATTTCAATAGCATATGTAAATAGTAAAAATTAGTGTAAATGCAATAATGTCGATGTTGTAGCATAAAAAAAAATAAATTTTTTTTTTTATCATCAATCGGTAAATTTATACCGATTAAAATATGAAGTACATTATTTCACGATTTTGAAACCAAGTACATCAATTTTTAATTGATGGAAATTCGAAAGTGAAGTCTAACATGTACAGTATCCTCAGAAAGTTTAACACGGTTACACAAAAACTTTGCAGTTAATTTATTCTTAGGCACGGTTGTAGCGAAATTTAATTTATGGATTTTTTTTTTATATATTGGTAATGATATATTTATACGTAATGATTAATAATGTACTTAAATTACACAATTCAATTTGCGTATATGTATTATACATTTGAATAAATTTATGTTAAACTTTTATGTGTACCCATATTAAACTTGACCAAAGTTCTATCTCAGATTGTAACTCATAAAAATACCAGTCAGGCATCTCTCCAATTAAAGTCTTAAGATATTTTATATATATCATTCAAGTTTAGTAAACTGGTTTTCTTACAAGTGGCAGAAGTCTTTCAACATAACCATATCTTTAAAATTGTTTAAGAACTCGACTTATTGATGATCTGCTAACATCTAACCAAGTGTTTAGCAATTATTCGAACTTATAACCTAAAATTGTTTTCGTTATATTGATATTGGTTATCTGGTCATTATCGATTAAAAATTGTCACTGTTGCATTGTAAATAGAGGTCTTTTAAAGCTATATGTTTCACGTGAGTTTCAATTTACAAATCGATTAGTAACCAACTTAAAACCCATGTACATACGCACATACCTGGCTTTAGACTATCTCCGTAAATAATAAACAATTATACTGATCATGCCGAAATCAATAATTTATCGAATCGGCTGAATAATTATTCGGTTAAGGTGTCCCAGGAATAATGATAACAGCTGTAATCGATGATATCATTAATGATTGTCGGATCGTTTGGTTTTATTTCCGGGCAATCACATGATCATCCGGAGCACAACCTGGTACACATTTTCGATTTGCATACAAATGAAAAAATAGTGTAGTCGTCAATAACTGCTTCACAATAATACCGTTATTTATATTCACGTGGGTGTCAAACGGTGGAAGATGATTAGCGCAATCATGCCGCTGCGCGACAGATCTGCACCAATCATCTCATCAAAAAATAATTCTAACGCACATTGCTTCCTGAAATTAGAAAAGACAAACACACTGCATACAAAGATGATACGTTACACGGTCCGAAGGACAGACAATATGGTTACACCAAATGTGTGTGTGTCCGCAAATTACAGGTTTTGATTGGTTGATCTATGTTCGGACTCCGTTTGCCTAGTTTATACCAGAAAGTTCTAAACTTTGTAATCTGCCATTAACGGCACGATCTGCACTATAAAAAAAGGCAATATGGAAAAAGACTCAAAAAAGTGTGCGCTGAAAAATAAAAAGTATAAGTAACTTCTTTATAAAATGCAAATTTAAACTTGGTTTATAATGCCTCTATAGTGCTACTTATTTTTTAAATTTAATACACTTCCATTGTCATTATCGTTTTTAATTATATAAAAGGCAATTTTTCAGCAACATAGAACTTATATGTAGGTTATTAATTTATACAGCTTTTCCGCTTGTAATTTACAAAAATTAGACAAATAAAATAAAGTATAAATATGAAACACAATAGAGAAAAATGCGTAAACTGCAATAAAAATCGAATACTTAAATCCGATAATCTATGTATTCGTTGCCATTCCAAACAAACTAAATGCATTAACTGCAATAGAAAGAAGGATCGTAAATATGAAAATAATAAGCTATGTGCAGGGTGTTATTCTACACAATTTGTTAGTAGCGGAAATCAGGATATTGACAATTTGATAAAAGCAACATACAAGAATCAACCTAAATTTAGATTAGAATGGATACCATTTAACGATTTTAAAGATATAACCCGAATTGGAACTGGTGGTTTTAGCGAAATCTATACTGCTACATGGACAAAAGGCGGAATAACAAGTTGGAGTGGAACAAAAAATGAATATAATAGGAAAGGGAATCAAACGGTTGTGTTAAAAGTTCTAAAAGAATCCCAAAACATTAATTCAGAATTCTTAAAAGAGGTAATATTAGATAAACTTTATTTTAATTATTGATATATTACTCTAAAAATTTTGTCATTTTCTGCTGCAGTTACAAAATATTGTTAAAAGTCAGCCTAATTCCACCAGGCGTCACCTTATTCAATGTTATGGAGTGTCACAAGATCCAAAAACAAAAGATTATATTTTTGTTATGTCTTATATGTCTAATGGAAGCCTAAATGATTATTTATCAAATAATTTTAAGGATATTACTTGGAAAATGAAACGAGACTTTCTTAGAGATATTGTTATAGGCATTAAATGGATTCATGAAAATAAAATTATACACCGCGATATACACGATGGAAATATATTAATAGGTAAATCGA